AATAATCAATTCATACAATTGTATCACAATAAAATATAATAATAATATTAGATTTTGAATTGAGTAATTAATTTATAAATTTTAATTTATATATGCGATAATGTTGTTATTCTTTGTCATCAGTTAAAATTTTAAAATTAACAGATATACTGATAATTAATTTGTAATTAAGGAATTCAATCTGATTGATATGTTAATTACTAAATTAATTCAATAAATATTATTAAGTCCTATGTTTATTAGAATTAGAAAGTTCTGTTCTTGATTTGCAAAAGAAAAAAAAATAACTTTTTTTTTTTTAACATCTGTTTATTTGTCAAATGATTCAATATTGATTTTGGTACTAATATGTCTAATCAAAATAAATAATCATTATTTATTCTGATTGAAGTGTTGTATCATTAAATTAAAATTTATTTTAAAATAAAAACTAATTTAAATTAATTTAATTATATGTGTATATGTATCATATATTAAGGTGGATGATAACAAAATTAAAATTTGTAATAAATATTTAATTAATAAAAATAATTTAAACAATTTAGTCGTAATGAAACGTATTTATTATATGAAAATTTGTATCCAGTAATTGATATTTTAAAATTTAATAATTATTTTGAAATTAAAGTTTGTAATAAACATTTAATTAAAAATAATCTAGATAGTTATGTTATGATCATGAAGTTTTAATACTTGTATGAAAATTTGTTTTAATTTATTTAATATTAATAATAAAATTTTCAAATGTATGTAATTATGAGTGGAATATTAATAATTGGTTTGTATTAAGAAATTTAATTTTATTAATATGTCAGTTATTAAAAAATTAACCTTATTAAATATGATTCTTAATTCGTGAAATAAAAATTAACTCAATTTGGTATTTTTATTACATGACAAAATATTGATTTATTAAATAATTCAATATTGATTTTGATACAAATAGAATCCACTAGTTAATTATCATATGCAAATTAAAAGGAAATAATTTGACAGATTCGAGACTCAAATTAAAGGTAGAATTGTAGATATCATGATTGTACATTGTTTTGTTTTCAATACAATGGTTTCAAACAATATTTTATAAGAATGATACATAGTATCACTCATACAAAATTGTAAAGAAGACATAAAAGAAAACGTAGGGGTTTTAATATTAATATAGCAAACTAACAATCATAGGAAAATGAAAATGAATATCTTTGATAAGGTTATTTTATGATATTTGTCTGAGGAAATATTTAATAAGAGTTATTTTTATCAAAGCAATATGATCTAATTTTATTTATGAGTTTTTATTTATAGAGAAAATTTGGAGTTTTTTTACTCAAATAATACTATTTTAAAAAATATTTACCCAAATAACAATTATGCAAATTTATTTCCTAGACTATTACTATTTACTGTTCACGTTTCAGAATAGGTCGTTCCAAATTAAAAAATAACACACGATGAATGGATCAGAACGGGTCGTTCCAGATTCAAAAAATGCACATAAAAGTGGAACCAGAACGGGTCGTTCTGAATTCGGAATGGGCCGTTCTGGCCTATAAATAAAATTTTTTAGTTCAATTTTTACTAATCAAATACTAAAACTCATAAACTAACATCAAATAATTAAATTTATTGAATATTAACATTGTAAATATAACTAAATAAATTTATTAAAATTCAATATAACAATAAAGATCAATGGTGGCAGAAACTGATTATGTTGTTCTGTAATGTCCATATTTGTTTTAATCCTGCTGGACTTTGGCCACCCTTGAAAGTTCTCTTGAATTCTAGATTTGGCTACAAAGTTGGACCAGTGTAAGTAAACCAATAATCTTCATGTCGGAGCTCTCCAAACTGTCCTTCGTATACTTTTGCAACTTATTGTAAGGTATATATGAGAGATATGTAAGTTTGCTAGTCGTGATGTGCATGTAAGCATGAAATGAGTACATGCGAGCAAGGGATATGAACTTTTTGGAACTTGCTGCAATCATACCACATTACATTTAGCCTTAGTGTAAATCTCCTAGCGAGTCATGCATGCGAGCAAGAGATATGAACTTTCTGAAACTTATTGCAATCATACCATATTTCTTTTAGCCTTATTGTAAATTTTTCAACGGGTCAAACTTCTCTCGGATGTTGCGTTTCTTCCAACTTTGTGGCCAAATCTAGAACGCAAAAGAACTTTCAAGGGTCGGCCAAAGTCCAGCAGGATTAGAACAGAGATGAACATTAGAGAATAACATAATCGTGTAAAAAATTGTTCTTATTGTCACACTCCTGATCACGCCACCATTGATCTTTATTGTTGTAATGAATTTTAATAAATTTATTTAGTTATATTTATAATGTTAATATTCAATAAATTTAATCACTTGATGATATAGTCTCTGAGTCTTGGTATTTGATAAGTGAAAATCAGAAAAAAAAAACCCTGAATCTGTAGGCCAGAACGGCCCGTTCTGGATTCAGAACGGCCCGTTCTGGTTCTACTTTTTATGTCCATTTTTTGAATCTGGAACGACCCGTTCTAATCCATTCGTCATGTGTTATTTTTTAATCTGAAACAGCCCGTTCTGGAATCAGAACGACCTATTTTAGAACGTGAACAGTAAAAAGTGCTTGTTGGGAAAATAAATTTGCATGGTTGTTATTTAGGTAAATATTTTTTAAAATAATATTATTTGAGTAAAAAACTCGAAAATTTGTTATACAAAACTAAATATTGATATTATCCTATTCTAAAAATAAGGAAACAAATCCTAAAATAATCAAAACAGATTAAATCTAAATATTTGAAATATAAATAAAATATTTTTATTAAAAACTAATTTATTCTCCTAAAGATATTTAGGCATATTCCCAACATATTTCAGTGTTGTTCGGGTTTGTCATTCTCCTTCACATGCAAAATGAATTTCTTTTATTGAACAACATTCTCCAATAGTCCTTGAACCATATATCTAAAATTCTACAAAGTCCAAAATATTGGAAATATAGCTTCACAAAATGTGGAGAACAAAAAAGTGTAACATAGAAGTATATATATTTTTATTTACAAAAAAAAGTCTCCAAATGGATCTAAAAAAAACTTTTATAGAGAGAAATGAGAGAGGATTATGAATATTACCTTCAATTTTGGTGAGAATTGCAACATAAGAAGAAAATTAAATTTTATTAGAACATTTGTGACAAGGGAGAACAACAAAAAAGATTTTAGATTATGAGTTAGATAAAAATGAACTTACAAACAATAAAATGAGATAAATAATTATGAATATCACTTTCTATTTTTGGTGAAAATCATATCGTTAGTTTGTTACCATTTTTCATTGACTCTGGAGAATATAAAATATCACAAAGTTCAAATTATTTATACATAGTTTCACAACACCTAAAAAACCTAAGTGGAGAACAAAGAGGGAAGACAAATATAAAAAAAAGTATTTTTTTTTACAAAAGGTCTCCAAAATATGGGTAAGAAACAAAACTTTTACAAAGAGTGAAATAAGACTCATAGGTCGCTTGTTATACCTCAAATTGTGAATATCACCATCAAATTCTAATGAAAGTTGTAACATAAGATGAAAATTAAAATTTAGAACATTTAAAATAGAGAAAAATTAACATGACAAAAAGAAAAAAAAAATACAAAGAGTAAAATAATTGAAAGAATTGCCAATATCACCTTAGATCTCTACAAATTTGAGTAGTTAGGAAAAGGAAAAATTTATTTACAATAGAGTTGTGTAGAGCTTTTAGTAAGGGAGGAGTATAATAGAATGCAAAATTCTCTATACACACTAACAATGAAGATGAATTGTTTAAAACTTTTAGAGGGAAGAGATATAATAGAATGTAAAGTTTTTCATTGATTGAGGACATAATCACAAAATATAGTGTTAATAATGGTTATAATAACTGACAATTACAAGAGAAATGTAAAAAAAAAGAATGATTGACATATAAACAAATATGTTAATATAACAATGTCTAAAATTAATTTAATAGCAATATGTCTACTTAATAATTCGTAATTTAACTTTTATATTATAAATAAAAATAGATAGGTTAACAATATTTAATAACAATTTATTAAAATTCATAGATGATAATAGTGAGTATATCACTTTTTAGGGTTACACTATTTTTTTTATGAGCGTGTTATACTCACGCACTACAAGTTTAGAAAAGTATTTTACATTTATAATAAATTATTGGGATATTAGAACGATATGATATAAAGTTATTTGCTTCAATTAAATCTCAAATAAATAAGGTCATGGGCGAATGTTTGAAGTAGGTGATGAAAATTAGGAAGAGGGTCATGCGGTGGGTTATCAAGGTCTTGGGGAAGAGAGGGGGTGGTCGACGGTGGTTTGCCCTTGAACTTACGAAGGAGTGATACATGGAAGACAGGGTGAATGCGAGTTTCCGGTGGAAGCGCGAGCTGATACGCGACGGTGCCGATGCGACGCTCCACCTGAAAGGGTCCGTGAAAGCGGCGAGAGAGCTTGTGTTGTTTCTGATTGCGGAGCGAGATTTGACCGTGTGGTTGTAACCTAAGAAGGACCCAATCACCGTGCACAAAGGACACCTCACGGCGATGCTGATTGGCGTAAGCTTCCATCTGTTGTTGAGTTCTTTGCAGATTTGTTTTCAGTTGTTTGAGTATTGCTTGACGTTCTTGCAGGGAAAAAGGGTCGGAGGTCATGGTGTGACCAGGTATGAAATCAACCATGGTGGGTGGGGGTCGTCCGTAAAGTGCTTGGAAAGGAGACATTCCGATAGCAGAGTGTTTAGTGGTGTTGAACCAATATTCGGCCAAATGGAGGAAGGTGTACCAGCGACGAGGATGCTCACCAGTGATGCAGCGAAGGTAGGCCTCGATGGAGCGATTAACCACCTCAGTTTGGCCGTCGGACTGCGGGTGGTAAGCAGAAGAGAATCGGAGTTGGGTTCCCTGAAGACGAAAAAGTTCACGCCAAAAGTGGCTGAGAAAGAGGCGGTCACGATCTGAAACGATGGACTTAGGCACCCCGTGAAGGCGGACAATCTCAACCGAAAAACGGGCAGCAAGATCCTGGGCAGAGAACTTGGTGGGTAAGGCCAGAAAGTGAGAAAATTTGGTAAGCCTGTCGACAATCACCCAAATCACCGTGTGACCGTGGGAGTTAGGAAGGTGAGTGATAAAATCCATACTGATATCCTCCCAAACTCTATCAGGGGTGGGTAATGGTTGAAGGAGACCTTGCATTTTAACTGGGTAATATTTGTTTTGCTGGCAGGTGAGGCACGATTGGACTAGTTTTTTTGTATCCTTGTAGATACCAGGCCAGAAAAAAGAGGTGCTGAGCCGCGCAAGGGATGCTTTAAAACCTGAATGACCGGCGTGGGGCGAGCTGTGGAATTCATTGATCAGGGAACGACGGAGGTCATGAACATCAGGTACGAAAACTTTGTTATTGAACATGAGGAGGCCTTGCTGAAAATGAAAGTGACTCCTTGCATTTGTGTCTGAGGTGCATTTGTCCACAAGAGCAATGCCAACGGGATCAGAACTATAATAACTCCGAAGAGTATCAAGAATGTGTGGCACCGGTGACGTAAGAGCTGTGAAGGTGAGTGGTGCGTCCGAGTGACAACGGGAAAGAGCATCTGCAACGACATTTTCACGGCCTGGACGATATAGGATATCGAAGGTATACCCTTGCAACTTAATCATCCAATTATGTTGTTCTTGCGTTTGCACTGCCTGAGTTAAAAGATATTTGAGACTTTTTTGATCTGTAATGATTCTGAAGGGCTTGCCTAATAGGTATTGTCTCCATTTTTTTACAGATTCCGTAATGGCAAACATCTCCCGGACATAAACCGAGGCAGCCTGCATACGGGGGCATAGCTTTTTGCTGAAGAAGGCTATGGGGTGGCCGGACTGGGAAAGTACTGCACCAATAGCTATGGAGGATGCATCAGTTTCTAAGTCAAAAGGGGCATCAAAGTTGGGTAGGGTTAGAACTGGGGAGTGGGCAATGGCCTGTTGTAATGCAATAAAAGCTTTATCTGTATGTGTATTCCAAGAGAAAGAAGAACGTAACAGATCCGTGAGAGGCGCTGCAATAGTTGCATAATGGCGAATAAAACGCCTATAGAAGCCGGTGAGGCCGAGAAAAGCGCGTAGAGTGGTGAGGTCACGCGGTCGGGGCCATTCTAGGATGGCTCGGATCTTCTCAGGGTCCGGCTGGACTCCTTGGGCTGAAATGAGGTGCCCTAAATAAGCCATGGATTTTTCTGCAAAAACACATTTAGAGTACTTGGCAAAGAATTGATTAGTAGTTAATAACTCTAAAACCGACTTAAGGTGAATTAAGTGGTCTTCCAAATTAGAGCTAAAAACTAATATATCATCAAAGAAAACTAGAACAAATTTGCGCAAGTAAGGTCGAAATAAATCATTCATGGCTGCCTGAAAGGAAGAGGGAGCATTTGTAAGTCCGAAAGGCATGACTAAAAATTCGTAATGACCATCGAAAGTTCTGAAGGCTGTTTTGTGAGTGTCTGGGGGGTGGACTCTTATTTGATGATAGCCAGAGCGTAGGTCGATCTTAGAAAAAATCGAAGCATGACCGAGTTCATCCAACAACTCATCGATAGTGGGAATAGGAAATTTGTCCTTGATCGTGATAGCATTTAGAGCCCGATAATCCACACAAAATCTCCAAGACCCATCCTTTTTTTTAACGAGAATGACAGGGGAAGAATAGGGGCTGCAACTGGGTTTAATGATACCAACGTGCAACATCTCTGAAATTATAGATGACATAGCTTCCTTGTGAGCATGAGGGTAACGGTAAGGCTTCAGGTTGATAGGGGTAGCATTAGGTAAGAGGGGAATATGATGATTATGGGGCCGGTCAGGAGGGAGACCCGTGGGGGTAGTAAAGACATGGGCGAAGGTTTGAAGTAGGTGATGAAAATTAGGAAGAGGGTGGGTGATAGTAAAAGTCTCGGACTGTGTAGAGGACGTATGGTGATCAATTGGTTGAAAGGATAACAGGTGAAAAGAAGCTATGGAATGGGTGTGGAGGAGATGGCAAAGCTGCTGGTAAGTAGCGGGGGTAGGGGTGAATTTAGTGTCTCCACGAAGTGTAATGGTGGTATCAGATAGGGTAAAAGACATACTGGGGACGGAAAAGTCGGAAATAATTGGGCCTAAGGTACGCAGCCACTCAATACCCAAGACGACATCAGCCCCTTGAATGGGTAGAAGGTAAAAGGGTATGGTGAAGGAGTGTGAATGTAAGGATAAGGGAACCTGAGAGCATAACCCAGCACAATAGATATGAGAACCATTACCAACCATAACTGGAAATTGAGGGGTGGGTGTGATAGGTAGGTGAAGGTGTTGAGCAATGCGTGGTTGAAGAATGTTATGTGAGCTGCCCGTGTCAATAAGGACAGAAACTGGTAGACCCAATATAGAACCCTTAAAACGAAGGGTCTGAGGGGAAGGTAATCCGGAAATGGCCTGAGAACTTAATTGGAAAAGGACAGCGGGTGAAGTATTTGGGTCAAGGTCTATAGGTGGGGTGTCAGTGGAGTCTATAAGTGGGGAATCAGCGGAGGAGGGAATATCAGGGGGGTGAAGATCGGAAGGGTTGGGATCTTCCGAATGGTCATCAGTCATAAGGAGAAGGAATTTAGGGTTTTGGCATTTGTGGCCAGGGTGGTATTTTGCATCACAGTTATAACACAAACCTTGGGTACGTCTTTCTTGTATTTGGGTTGGAGAGAGGCGTTTGATAGGTAAGGGAGGAGGGTTAGGAGATGGTAGTGCTGGGGAAAGTGGAGGTAAACGGGTGAAGGAGGCTTTGAGCTTCGCATCCTTAATTTTGGCTTCAATAAGTTTGGCTAAACCAATGGCTTGGGAAATAGATGTAGGTTTGAGAATGGCTAGCTCACGTCGTATTTCCGGTAACAACCCAGAAAAAAAACAATCAACAAGAGCATCTGGGGGAAGGCCAAAAACCCTAGTTGAAATCTTCTCAAAACGCTGTTGATATTCAATGACTGTAGTGTGTTGACGAAGTTTGAAAAGCTCAGCCCGGAAATTTTCAAACTCTGTAGGGCCAAAACGCAACTCCAATGCTCTTTCAAATGAGAACCAATCCGTAAGTTGATGGTTATGGACCATCCATTTAAACCAGGTCAAGGCATCGCCTTTCATGTAGAAAGCCACCATGGGTAAGCGATGATCAGGTGGAATATGGTGAAAAGAAAAAAACTGGTCAGCTTGAAATAACCAATCAAGGGGTTCGGAGCCATCAAAGGGAAAAAGTTGTAATTTCGGTGGACGAATGGGTGTAGTAGTAATAGGTGAGGAAGGGTGACGGCCAGCATGAGGTAGGGGTGGAGGGTTTAAGGTGGAAAAATTATTAGGAGAAAAAGTAGGAAAGGGGTGAACGGTAGGTGAGGAAGTGGGATTGTGAAGGACAGATCCATCAGGGGTAGGCTGGGGATGTGGGAGAGGAGTTGGGTGAGGTGAAACGTCAATGGTGGAGGGGGAAGGCTGGAGGGTGGCTAATTTTTCAACAACGGTAGTAAGAATGGTATTGATAGAGTCATACCTAGCATCCATTAAGGATTGAAAGTTCTCAAATCGAGTGTCTTGCTGCTGTTGGAGAACTTGAATACGGTCCGAGAGGGCTGCCAAGGATTCATCAACATCTTTGCGAGGAGGCATGAGGAAGGATGAAAGCACCATTTTGTTAGGATTTTTGATAATTTTTCCTAACAAGGTCTTGTTTTGAGATAGACCAAGTCTCCCTACCACTATAGCTATCTAAGTTTTGGGAATAATTTCTCTGTCTCTTCATTCATTTCCAGTTTGAATAAATACAAAACAATTGAAAGGAAACCCTATTGGGTTGAGCACGTAGGCCCAACTACAATATTCCACTTTATTCTAATATTTTGTGAAAACAGAAAATTGCTACGTCATATTGTTGGGGCAAAACATCATCTTTTCTTCTTAAAACACATAGTCATTGTGCCATGTGGGCCTTTTTGACACTCTTTTGGCCCGTTTTTCTTCATTCTCTTCAGTCTCTATTTGTTGTTTTGGCCTCCCATCATACTCACGCACTACAAGTTTAGAAAAGTATTTTACATTTATAATAAATTATTGGGATATTAGAACGATATGATATAAAGTTATTTGCTTCAATTAAATCTCAAATAAATAATTGAATTTCAATGAATGGATACCAACTATAAAGCATCTTACAATGAAGACAGAGTCCAAAAGCAGTTATGGTCCTTTAGAATCAATGCTGAGCTCTCTTCAATTGATTTTTTCTTGGTTAGCTTTCCTTTCTCTTCAATTTATTTTAAAATATAAGGCGTCTTTTATACGAAATATTATTTGACATCTAAACATGAACACTTATCTTACAAATGACACAATTAGTTACTAAATAGAATCTAAAATCGAATATGATATCTTTTATATTTTATATCATCTCATATGAATTGTGCTCGGGTGGAATAAACAATATGTAATCTCACAAAAAAAAAAATGATAATCTAAACTTCACATTATAAAAAAAAAATGAACATCTTATCTTGAACATATACCACGGTATGAATTGAATTCTATTGTTAAAGAATCCTAGCGGGTAATATATCTGCATACTCACGCTGTTAATTATTTTATATATATCCAACTGATTTAATTTTGTAATTATTAAGCATAATGAGGTATTATCAACTTTTTGTTCTATACTATATTCACTAATTAAGTTCGATTGTGTGTATTATCATTTTCTTTTTGGATAAAAAATTGATTGAACGGGGTATTCCCAATATTACTGAGCAGTATATAACTTTTATCTATGTATAACTAAGTTCGTATATATAAGTTAACAAGAATTATAAAAAACTAGCTGATTAAAAAGCTATTAAATATTTTTCTAAAAATAGCACGAAAAATAGAATTATAATATCAAGCAAGCTTAATTTTTATGCAATTTTCCTTGTTAACTAATTAAAAATTATAGTATAGTAGATGTGTGACTTGAAAAATAGTGGTTGCAAAATTAATAAAGTTATCACTTCTTCAATCACGTAACACATTATAATAAGTAAAATAGTAAAGGTGCATGCATGCATGCAACGCAATAAAAGAAAGCACGCATTTTTGCAAGGTGTAATAACGATCCCATGAGAAGCGACTAAGCGAAGGTTAATTAATTTGAATAAATATAGTTATAATTAATATACTTTGGCCAAGAAAAAAGCATTTGAAAAAGTTGTGATTTAAAAGCGAGAGAAAAAGAAAAAAAAGATTCAGAGAAGCAGCATCTTATAATGGATAGAATCTGCAAGTGATGACACCTTGCACGAAGCCATTGTTATTGTTATTAATAACCACGAATCCAATCCAACGGTGACTCCCCTATTCTCTATTTTAAGCTTGTGTTTCAATGCAAACACACCCTCTCTCTCAGATATAGATAAGAGAGAGAGGGAAAAAAACGAAAGAGTGGTGTGGTGGTGTTGTGTTTAATTTTGTCGTGTGGTGCAAATGGTGTGGAGATAGAAATAGGCTTGACTCAATCAATGAAATAAAAACTCCCCCCCATGTTCTTGTCTTGCAAGAATCAGAGAGTTGATTAGGAACAAACAAAACTTCTGACATCACAGAAAGAAGGGTCACCATAATGCCTTCCTTAGACTCTCTCGATTTCTTCCTCTTCCGTCTCAGCACTGACTTCACCACCCCTTTGGCAATTTTTGCTCAGGCGCAGGTTTTCCTTTTCTTCTGCTTGCTGTTTATGCAACCAACTCTCTATTTCTTGCATTGCATGTTTCAATCTTCTTTGTTGTTTGCTATGTCATTTCCTATCTTATTTTTATAGAGACTACATGTATCTTGCACAACAAATTATTCATCGAGTCGAGTAGAACTAATATGAATGACAACAAATTATCCTTTTCTGCTTGAATCGAGTAGGACTAATATGGATGACATTTCTGATCATGATTCTCATAATGACAAATAAAATGTTACAGTCCAATAATTCTCATAATTCCTACAATTAAAACTTATAACATTCATAATAGTAGGAATTCTGCATAAACTTTAATAATAGTTACTAAGGCATGTTCTCAACATTTTGGTTTTGTAGTTTACATATTTTCCCATCAAATATTGTTATTTGTTAGATAGTTTGTACTCCTCCCATTGTTTCTTAAGAGAAAATCTACCATGCTACTGTGTCATACAAACCTGATTTGAGGTTTCAATATGCAGGGATGTCTAATTTGCTTACTCCTTGCTTTTGGTTGGGCTTGTGCTGCATTTGTCAGGTACTCATAGATTTCAAACAGCATTAGAAAACTCATTTATCATTGTGTGAACAAGAACTTTAAAGCACTTTCTTTTTGCCTCACAGGAACCGAGAAATAAATCGAATTAAGAAGAGTATGCGGAACGGCAATAACTTTGCATTCCTTTGTCATGATATTAACGAACTTGAACACTCCAATCAGGCTGATCTTCCAAGAGTATCAATAATAATGCCCCTAAAAGGATTTGGAGAACACAATCTCCATAACTGGAAGACTCAGGTATAGGACACATACCACACCGACTTGTGGACATAATGAAGTATTTTTTTCTTAATGATCACATTTCCGAATATTTGGTTATTATGATTCTGCTCTTTTACAAATTCAGTTAACATCGCTTTACGGTGGCCCTCAAGAATTTCTTTTAGTGCTTGAAAGTACAGAGGATCCTGCATACCATCATGTATCAAAACTAGTATCAGAATTAGAGGTACAAGCTGGAACTCATTAAGATTTGATTCTATCGTTTTGGTGCCTCTGCATACTTTATTGCAGAACAGTTTTGGGCCTTTTCTGACAAATTGATATTTTCTGTATTATACTTACATGTCTGTCTACTGCATGCAGAATACTGTTGATGCTAAGATTATAGTAGCTGGTTTGTCAACAACATGTAGTCAAAAAATTCACAATCAATTGGTATGGATTCTTATACTTTGTTTTAGTATTTTCAAATGCAAACTAGGACATGCTATACTTGAAAACTTCTTTTCATCCTTAAATTTAACTGCAAGTCAATCAATATTTTTGGTCCATAGATATAATCCTCAAAGTGCCCCAAAACCAACAGACTAATAATTTGTGTCTGTGAGATGAGACTTTTACTGGCCAAACAATATAAACATGTTGATGCATCTTAATTGTTTATTTGACTAGTTGTTGAAAAACATATAATCAATATAAAACTTGCTAGGCAAATACATCAATGAAGGACCAGCATTTACTTTTTGATATGGATTATGGAATGTCAGGGCAATTTCATTCTTGTTGATTTGTTAGGTTGTCCTTGCTTCATGCATTTTACCAACTACACTAGTATTACATAATTTTGGCACCTGGGCAGGTTGGGGTGGAGAAAATGCACAAAGACAGCAAGTATGTATTGTTTTTAGATGATGATGTTAGGCTACATCCTGGATCAATTGGAGCGCTTGTTCGTGAAATGGAAAAGAACCCTGAGGTATAGCTTAAGAGATTTTGTTTCTTTGGTTCTCTTCTTTAGATGTTTAATTGAAATATTTACAACTTGCCTAAAACTTTTTGGCACGCTTTTAACTGTTTTGATGCTTAACAGATATTCATTCAAACTGGATACCCTCTTGACTTGCCATCTGGAAGTCTAGGGAGTTATTGCATCTATGAATACCATATGGTACACGACTAGCTTTCAATTTATATCTCTTATCTCTGTAGCAAATATATGTGTATAAAGAAAAGTTATTAGGTAGTTTAGAACTATCTAGTATCCATGGTTCTAGTTAATCACTATATGACATGCATTTAATTTTTTAAATTTATGACAAAAATTTAATAACACTTAATTACATGTCATATAAAGACTATTTAGAGATCATGTGATCCAAAATCTCCTAATAATTTTTCGTGTATAAGATTGTGTTTTCTTCTGTTTTCCATATGTCAAACTGATTGGTAACTGAATCACCATTGACTTTGCTCTCAGAATTTGTTAGATATCTCATCTCTTTGCTTGGAGTTGGCTGTTATGATTTCTATTAACAATGGATCTGATGACTTCTATTAAGGCTGTTGATAATATATCAATATTCTGATTGTACTTAACTCAATTGTTCCCATTTTTGTTTTTGTTTTTGTTTTTGTTTTTTTCTACAGCCTTGTTCAATGGGCTTTGCCACTGGTGGACAAACATTCTTTTTGTGGGGAGGGTGCATGATGGCAAGTAGCTTCTACCTTTATTTTCATTAGAGCATTAAAATACTTAAAGTCTAACTGTTTAGTTTTTCTTCAGATGCATGCCGAGGACTTTAGAAAAGATAATTGTGGTGTAGTCTCAGGACTTAGAGATGGTGGATATTCTGATGATATGACTCTTGCAGCCATAGCTGGTATATCATTGATGATACTCATCATCTTTTAAGCTGAACAATTTAAGGATCATATAACATCTTTATCAGCATTTCTCATTTAAAAGTAATGATTACTGATCCATAAACTAAAGGAGCTGGTCTTTTAAAAGTAAGAGTCAAGAAACTGGTCATATTTTGTCTTTGAAGCAACCCTTTGAATACAAGATTCTATTGTGATATTTCTGATCCTTTTTTCAAACGAATATGCAATAACCTTACAGCATTCAACTAAACTTGTCTTTTGGGTATATATATTAAATGTTTTTCTTGGTCATTCATTGCCATGATACTGTCACTCTCAGGTGCTCACAAGAAGCTCATTAGTTCTCCTCCAGTTGCTGTCTTTCCTCACCCCCTTGCAAGTGATCTTAATTTTGGAAGGTTTGTGATTACTGCTCACCTGAAATTAAAGTTTCACCATATATTCTCTGTTAATCATTCAAACAAGTGCAGGTACTGGAATTATTTGAGGAAACAAACATTTGTTTTGGAGTCATATGTAACCAAAGTTAACCAAGTAATGAACCGTGCATTATTTGCTGTTCACTGTTATTTGTCATGGGGATTTGTAGCACCATACGTCATGGCAGCAGTTCATGTTGCGGCAGCACTAAGATTTCGCGCTAGGGAGTACTCACTTGAAGAAATGAACTACTCTTCTGTCGGTGAGAACACTTTTCCTTTGTAGGTTGGTTGTTAGTGTTGATTCATAAGTAAACAATTAGCATTTGCATAGAATTTATATCCACAATTATATAGGTGCTTCATTTTAGTTTATTACTTATGTTGTCATATTCTACTGAGATTTATATATGCATTCATGTCATGATGATTCATGAATAATTCACAAGGCTTGTGAAAAGGAAAAGAAAAATGGAAGAAACTCATTTTTCAGATGAACTATCCCATTAAGCTTTAAGGCTTGCCTTTTCTCAGGGTTAACAATGGTGTGGCTCCTAGCCACATGCACTCTTGTTGCGCTTTTCTCAATGTGGAACTTGACAAGGATAGAAGTTCTACTTTGCAACATATTGTCCCCAGAAGCACCACGACTTTCTCTGGCTTCTTATAATTGGTGTAAAGTAAGTGCTTTTCCAAGTTCTTAATCCAAAAAACGCTTCACCAATATATGTTGATGGATTGAGTGATGTTATCCTAAACGTCTTATACATTTCAACATGGCATTGCAATGAAATAAAAAGGATGCAAGAATTTGTGGGAAAAAGTTATAATATGTGAATGTGTGAGTTAATATGATGCCAAGGGATGTGAAGTACTAGCTGGTAAGGAAAGATTTGATTTATTTTCTTTATTTTGTTTTGAGCAGGTATTCATTGCAATGCTGGTGGATAACTTTTTATACCCTATATCTGCAATTCGTTCTCATTTTTCTCAATCTATCAATTGGTCTGGCATTATATACTATTTGAAAGATGGAAAAATCAACAAGGTAAGTTGGTCCAAGGTTTTATGTCAACTTCAGCTTGACCTTACAAGTCCTAATTACTACTCTAACCTTTCCATTCCAAGTGCTACTGTACTTCATAAATGTGGATATAGTAACATTTAGGAGGGGAAGGTTGGAACCATGTAATTCTTTTTCTCAACCATTTCCTTTTTGTTTATTGCAAAATTTTCAGATAGAAAGACTACCAAAAAGACAGGATGTGTGTCCAGTTTTCACCGACTTGGGAGGAAAACATTTGTACGGAAGGAAAGGGTTGCCTGCCAAGGGCTCATTCCTCAGTTCTTTGTCCAAAACTTTGTTTCAACGGCGTCAACCAAAGAGATCTGAGTAACCAGGAAACGGCTTCATTCAGCATACAAAGTTTCTGTCTATTTTGTCTTGTGTCTCTGCCCCAAATTTTGAGGCACAATGATTCCTTTGGAAGCAATGGTTTTTGTTAGATAGCCTTATTAATTGTTTAGTGGTTCATAATTGATTGATTGATTTATTCTTCTGTGAGGCAGAATCCTTGTTCCATATACATGTATTTTTTTAATTACCCATTCAACCCCATATGATTTTCAGACCCTTCTTGAGCCTAATTTTGTAACTGTAACAATTCAATTATGTAATTTATGTACAACAACCAAGAATTGCTAAACGCATATTCAGTTTAGCAATTCAAATTCGAGTTTTTAATTCAATTTCTTCATCACCCCCAATAATATTATTGTAGCTCTTCCCTACACAATACTACTTTTTAAAGATTTGAGCAGATCCAAATCATGACAGAGGAATTCTTAAAACTAAAGTATGCATTGGTATTTATTTCCAGATGTCATCTTAGTATATCCAACAATATTTTTTTATGTAATACTAAATTAATCAATTATAATATCATATCAATAAATCATGGATAAAGCAAATCAGCCAAAAAAGAATTGCTAGAGACAAATGGGGGGAGCCTCATTGTTTAACTCTTTCTGGGCACATCCACATGAGAGCACAAATGATTTCATGCACAATTACATCAAAATCATGCAATGGATCAATTCGAACAGTAACACCTGAATTACTGTCTAATGAAGGCAAATGATCAGACACGGAGTAAAAAATTGGGGAGACAGAAAACAGCAGAATGTTAACATTTTCAAATCAAACATCTCTCTGAACGTTACAATCTAGGACCTACTGACTTAGCTATTGCTCCAAATCTCCAATGTAGAAGTCTTCAATCATGTCAAAGACTCGAGTTGCATGCTGTGGTCTGCAAAACAAACAAAAAGTTACGGATGAGGTGAGGAGAAGAATAATAAGAAGAAAGTTTTATGGACTTTACCACTAAAACAAGATCGTAAAACCAAATACAAATAGAGAGATGATCAAGCAGAGGATTGACCTTTGTTAAAAAGCAGTTTCTCGATTCTCACTGTTGCCTAGCTCTAAAATTGAAATATGATCAAGTTACGTACCATATTGCGTCTCTTTCTTGGAAAAAACCAACCTAAATTGTTTGTTAGGAAATGCAACTGGTAGTGGAAAATTGACCTCAAAATGTAAACATGTGAAGTGCTTATTTTAGTGAGGAGGAAGGTTCTAATGTTGAATTTGATACATAATCTGAAGGAGGAACTACGACATTCAAAGGATGCTTAGTTTGTAGTTGTAGTCATATAACATGGTATTTTTAAGTTATAATCCAGTGAAAACCAACATCTTATGTATGGCTATGGCCAGGTAACCTTCATCTGAGTCTATTTAATATATTGGTATAACAAGACAATGTGATAAATTAAGAAGGAAAAGCTATAAAGTATTCAATATTGAATAGACATTTCAATTTGTTAGATATAAAACAATTAATGTGCTTTCACTTTCACCCAAGTAAAAGCTTAAGCATTTAAGTAGTTGGGTTACGAAACTGACAAAGTAGGAATCTAACTCTTCATGTTTATGCGAAACCATTTGTGGCAATGTTGGAAACACTATGCTTCTTATGTTTCCCTTCTACTTCCCCCCAAACCCTTATTCATATCTAGGGACGAGGGTAATATCAGTAGTTCATAAAAAAAATAACTTCTACTCAAACCTTTCTTGGCCAAATCCAAGTAGGTAATCCACGAGAACAGTGGGAACATGTTTAAACCAAGACAAGAAGGAAGCAAAAAATAATTTATTGGGAAATTTAAGAAAAAATATGAAGAAAACAAAAATATAATAAAGGCAAATTCATAAAAACATCTTGATTACAGATAAGCAATGCGTGAAAAGGAATGGATGCATACCCAAAAAACCCTTCAGTTGAATCATCTCCAGCATGTGCTAGAATGGCATCACCGCCTGGATGTTCTTCCACATATGAGGTAACATCATATACCTACGGTGGGATAAAGCCCCAAGAAATGTAAACTCGAATTAGTTACAGTGCGCAAAATGCCAAATCATACCATTAATGTATTCAAGCTACTAGAGATTGGGCTGGTAATTACGGGTTTGGATACTTTGTATGGAGTTATAGGTTCAAACCTTATTGCCACTGCTGTACCAAAAAACAAATAATGTAGCATAGATAGGATTGAATTGTGAACAGAAGATTTAATATTGAAATAGTACTTGGTTTTATTTAAACCAAAGGAGTAGCACTGTCGTAAGGTGCTTAATATCAAACACCAATAAAAAGCTCATACCCTGTTCTTGATGATTATCCAACAATCTGTTCTCTTGTTATGCAATGAAACTTCCGTTTTACTGTAGGATTTCGATGCCTACAAGCACAATGCAGTATACAAATAATGATAACAATTAGATACAAATTTATCATGCAACTAAAGAACACATTTATCCCAATGTAATATTTCTTTTCGGAAAAAAAGTAACAGTCAACATATTTGGTTCACTAGTTAGTATGAGCTCCAACTAATGATATAGATACATTTACTTCTAGTCCAATCAAATTAGATCACCATGACCAATGTTTGACAAGTAGCTCAAGATAATATTTCCATCTTACCAACCTAACTTCAGGCTACAATAGTACGATAAAAAAGAATGTCAGTTTTCTTTCCAAATGCTAAACTTGTCCTCTCTTTCATTAGGAAAAGTGTAAGCTGAATAAATGGTGGTTCCACTCAATAAGCAAGGTTCTGAAGAATAGTCCCCACAAAGTCAATTCCCCCTATTGTTGGCCTCCCTGAATTTCAAAATTTCAACCTCCCAAAAGTGGTAAAACTCTGATCTATGCTCACAGAACCATACATACTATGATAAAAAGATGATTGCTTTAGATTGTGCTCAACTCAAATAAGAAAGAAGTCTTCCACAAAAAGGGAGGAATTCAAGCAACATTCCATTGACACACTTTTGTCAACACTCTTATCATTGGGTGAAATCCATTTAGGACCCACAACAAGCCTGGCAACCTCCTATTTGTTGAAAAAAGAGAAATCTAACTTTTAGCGAATATTTTGCCACCATTCTTCTTCATTAACACAAATTTTCTTTCCTTTCGGGCATGAGCACCGAGCAAAACACTCAAATGACACCAAGTCTTAAGAAACCAAGACATCATAACATTTATTTTCTTTGAGTTTCACCTAGATCCACACAATAAATTCTAACAAAGCTAGAGGCCCCGGTAAAAAAAAAAGAAAAAAAGAAACAGCAACACATCACTCATAATGGTTCTACTCGATCACCAATGTAATAATAGCAGCACAATTCACAGCAAAAAATTCAAGCTACAATAAATACCTTATCATTGTTTACACTGGCTTGAGCTTTTCCATTATTCCCTGAGAATGATGCAAAGAACTCACGTAAACACACACAAAGTACATTACGCAAACCCAAATTTCAAAAAACAGAGCATGACACAGATCACATGATAAAAATTAAGAGAACCTGATTTGCGGTGTCGTGGGTTGAAAAGAAGAAGGGCGAGGAAGAGACCCAGAACCAATGCGAGTGCAACTACCACTACCATAATGCAAAGTCGGAAACTTTGGCCCTTAATCCAATCTTAAGCAGAGAAAACAAGAAATGGGCATGCGTTAATGCAAGCGTATTACGGAGTAATCAATCATATTCATAAATACAGTAGTTAAAACTTAAAAGCACTTTTGGAGAGAGAATCATGTTACAATCTGAACTCACCAATGAAGTTAGAAGCATACAACGTTGGCAAATGTTAATGTCAACACTCACCAACCAATGCCCAATGATGAATTCAATGAGCTGCGAGTGAAGACAAGTAAGGAAAAGTAAAACAGTTCCAGAAACGCAGACAGAAAGAGCGAGAGACAGAGAAAGAGCAGTGTTGGGCCATATGTACAGGCCTCAACTGAATTTGGGCTCATTGCGGCCTGAATTCTAATAGATGGGCCAAATTGGGCTACAATCGGAAAATGGGTGATTCTATTTCCACCTACTTTTTTTCACTTCACATTCCCCCGCTATTTTTTTATAGAATTTTTGTGACAAATATTTTTTTTGGAAACTAATTTTTTAAAAGTTGATACATTACCGAAATTAATTTTCCTAACGCAGTTATTTTCTAACATATAACAGAAACTAATTTATGTAATTTTTTTTTAACTTTTTGAAGTTTTAAAATAATATATTATATGGAAAGTGGAGATAAAAACCTTATTTGATATGTTTGCACGAACTTATTTCAACAAAATTAATTATTTTCTTATGATTTCTTAAAACAACTTTTAAAAATTATTATTTTTATAATTAAGTTAGCCCAAAATATGCATATAATTATTTAAAAAAAAACTAATAAATACCAAAAAGATGCCTGGTTAAAGAATAAAAGCAACGCTCACCCTATCTAATTAAATTTCAACCTAATCTTTAGTTTTATAATTTTTAATACAGATTAAAGGTTTAATAATTTTCCTACATTTGAAGTAAAGTATTCTTCAGAAATGAACCCAAAAGAAAAGTGTTCTTCAGAAAAAGAAAATAAAATGCATTATGCAACAACCAAGGAAGGTAGAAAGAATAAAAAAAGAGTTAGAAGTTGAATGTACCCACTTCTTCAGCAATACAAGGACAAGTAACTCATGAAGAAACTCCACACAAAGCTAACTATTAAAATAAAAATGAGAATAAAAGAATATCAGGACATTGATAAGGAAAGAATAATGCATGTTCTAATAAAGAATAATGCTATTGCAGATTGTTCATCAAGCTCTCCATTTTTTTTTGTTACATATAACATATTCCATTTCCACCAGAAGTCACATTATCTTAGCACCCTATTCCTCGTTATTCACCGATCACAAGGAACAGAATAAAGCTACGAACACAATGGTCTCACTGACAAGTATCTTAAAGCTAATGGTTTTTTTTAAAAACCATATTCACATCTTATGTAGATTTAGTTAGGTTTAAGTTTACATTCTAAGAAGAAATTTGTCTATATCTTATTAATTATTGTAGACTTATAAATTCATTTACTAATCAGTAATTATTGACCAGTTTCACAAATTTTATATTTAAAATATTCAGTTATTATTATGAAAGATGTATGATAAGGATTTTATATTAATAGTTATCATGGTCTTATAAACTAGTTTTATAAAATTGAAAGTCCAAATTTGTATTGGATCATGTAATTGTTTTAACTTAAATTTAGTGGTCTAAGTTTCAAGCTTTAGATATATAGTTATGATAAGATTTTATTTATATAAACTTCTCTAAAAACACTTATATAAAAAAATGTTAATTTTAAAAAAATTTCATCTCAATTTTTCTAAAAATTACTTTTAATTTATACATTAACTAATTTTAGCTTATAAAAAATATTTCTTCTTTTCTTTCTATTTTCATCTCAACTATTTTTACTTTTTAGAAAAAATTATTCAAATAAATCTTAAAAACTTGAGAGAAGAACTTTTCTGCTTGGATTAATCTTATCCCACTAAGCAGCAGTTTCCAATTAAGAATACACGGAAATACATAGCACATTTGAATCAAATTCTATTACTTATTTACTTTTCTCAATAAATATTCATTAACTAGGTTAGTTGTAAGCATTGTGTTAATCACAAAACCAAAATCTTTTCTTGATAAACCTGTTTCCATCAACATCCCAACGAAGAACAGGGCAAGCAGAGCAAAAACAGAGAGATGGGTTGCACCGGCTCCAAGGCCGAGCCACCAATGGAAAACTCCATGCATGCAAGCGTTTCAGATTTTCCAAAACCAAAACCTCTCAAACAAGAACTCGTGTTACAAATTCCAGGATGCAAGGTTCACCTAATAGAAGAAGGAGAGGCCCTTGAACTGGCTCAAGGGAACTTCATCATCACAAAAATCTTGGACGAGAACGTGCCACTAGCAACCATCATAAAAGTTGGAAACACTGTTCAATGGCCCTTGACAAAGGACGAGCCAGTAGTGAAGGTGGTCATTTTTTTTTGGTTGTATTTTGCATAGATATATTTTCATCAGAAGAACTTGTCATAGTTTTATTCATGACTTCTATAAAAGAGATAAATTGTAATACAAAATTTTAAATACTAATATTCTTCTAGTCATAAGTCCAAATTTTGAATATCTTTATTTAAATGATATCTTAAACATTTAAAACATAATAAACTTCTTAAGAACTGCTTTTTTTTTTTTCCTGACTAAAGATATTTATACATATTTTGAACAGGTGGATGGTCTTCACTATCTCTTCTCTCTGCCAGTGAAAGATGGTGGTGAGCCTCTTAGCTATGGTGTCACCTTTCCAGAACAGAGTTATGGGAGCATGGGGGTGTTAGATTCGTTTCTGAAGGATCACTCTTGCTTTTCTGGGTTGAAAGGGAGCAAGAAGAGTGATCTTGATTGGGAGGAGTTTGCTCCAAGAGTTGAAGATTACAATCACTTTCTGGCCAAGGCAATTGCAGGAGGAACTGGCCAGATTGTTAAGGGTATCTTCATGTGCTCCAATGCTTACACCAACCAGGTTTAGTTTACCACTTGACTATTTTTTTATTTTATTTTAATTATTATGAAGGAGTATTCTTTATTGAATCCAGGATATTTTTTTATATTTTTTATAGTTCGATAAACATTAAATAAGTAAATATTCTTTTTTAATTTAGGTTTTTTTTTATATTTGTAAAAAATAAGATTTGATTTTTGTCCACTTAAGATTATCACTTGAATCTTGAATAATACCAAGAGTTTATGATTTTAAATTTTTTTTTTTTTATCTTTTTTGCTTTGAAATGATTTATGTTTGAATCTTTTTATTTTAAAATGAAGTTGATAATATAATTTACTATAACTTTTTATCTAATGTGAAAACTACATAAATTATTTAGACTCAAGATCAATTTTGGGTTTATAATTATATTCTTAATATGGAATCAAATATGTGAATATTTACTTATCAAGTTAGGTAACTCATATTTTAGCATGATTTTAGATGATCAACATGAATTTAAACAAACACTTAAATTTTAACATGTACTTGTGAGAAGAAACTATTGTATAGTTTCGGACTACATGTCCGTAATTGTAACCAATCTATAACACTGGATTTCATGTAAAAAAGAAAAAGAAGTATGATATTCTCACTCATCAGCTAGGATTAGAGATTAGTAAGTTGTAGCTAAAAAAATATAGTACATTACAATTTATGATTGGATGACAAGATAATGTGTATATATTATTTAGTTTTTAGTTTTTCCATTCATCATTTGAAAAGTAACCAACTAAATCATTATGTTCTTTGCATCATAAACTTGTTCTGGAATTCAGGTCCAAAAAGGAGGGGAAACGATCCTAAATAGTGCTGCAGAAAATAAAAATGGTCGCATGGTCAGAGAAAGTATGAACAGCAGAAATGCTGATGCCACAAAAAATAGTGCCATGAATGAAAATCTCAAACGGTATTTTAAAAAAAAAAATACTCAGTTCACAATTACTAATAATAAAGTACACTCAATCGCATCATACGTTCATTATTGTTAATACTTATGAACTTGGGATGTGACTGAGTGTACTTTGCAAGTCATGAATTAATGTTAAGGATAGGAGAGTATTGTCCATGAATTTTTCATATCCATAGTTTTAAGAGGATATATACAAGTACAAACTTTTTTTTTAATTTTTTTTTTTTTTTTTATGTTTGCAATGTAGTGTGAGAAAGCTGACAAATATGACAGAAAAGTTGACCAAATCTTTGCTTGATGGTGTTGGAATAATGAGTGGATCAGTGATGGCTCCTGTGCTTAAATCCCAACCAGGACAAGCCTTACTGAAGATGTTGCCTGGAGAGGTGCTATTGGCTTCCCTTGATGCAGTCAGTAAGTAACTCTTATCAAATAAACCAAACCGATTCAAAACCCAACTCAAACTGGATTATAAAATTGAATTGTTTTGAGAACAAAATCGACGGGAACCATTTTGTCAGTTTGCTTCTTTGAAGAAAATCAAATCATATTCATATAAAGTAGATATCTGAATTACACCGAATCATACTTTATTTTTTTCCTTTAAAAAAAATATCAGTTCGTTTCAGTTTGATTTAAAACAAATCCGATAATCTAAGATTTTAGAATGCTAGTAGTAGCATGGCCGTTATAAAATCTGTCTTGAGACACTGATTGATTTGATATTTTCAAATTTAATTTTTATTTATGTTAAAATAATGTTTAACTAGAAAAAGTCACTCACATGTTATTAGTTTTGGGATATTATGTGGAACATGTTCATGGACCAAAAAAAATTTATCATACTTTAAACAACCCATATACCAATCTTATTGTATTTATCTTGAGTTCTGAAATAAGCATCATCACCTAATCTCATTTTTTTAAACAAGCATCATCAACTTGATTCTGTGTTTAATTCCGCAGATAGAGTTTTTGAAGCAGCTGAAGCTGCTGAAAAACAAACCTTTTCTGCCACCTCCCAAGCTGCAACCAGAATGGTCTCTAACAGGTAAAAAGCATTATTAATATCACATTGCTTTGAACAATAATACTCCAGAAGTTGGGAACTGAGAAATATTATTAGAAAGTGTGATGTTAACACTTATTATGTGAACATATAAATGTAACTTTATACTTGACATGGAACCTTTGGCAACAGGTTTGGGGAAGAAGCAGGGGAAGCTACAGAACATGTGTTTGCAAGTGCAGGACATGCTGTTAACACTGCTTGGAATGTCTCTAAGATACGAAAGGCTATGAATCCAGCTTCTTCTGCAAATGCCGCAGGAGCACTCAGAAATTCTGCAAAGAATAGAAATGTTACATATTAAAATAAGGTCATGTTGCTTTATGTTTTACAAAGGTGAAGGCATAAATATTTGCCTATATATATTTCTTTATCTTTTTGGTTGCTATAGTATTTAAGTATTGATGTATTGGTCAACATGAAAAAGCTCCTGATGTAAGTAAGAGAGCATTTATATGCACATTATTTTGCATGCAATATTCATGTTAGTAGTGTCAGGGGGCAATCATCACCATGTGAAACGGGTCTAAAAATGTGAAGATTTTTTTTTTATTTAAAAAAGATATAGAAGATATTTGGATGTGTTTATTTTCTAATGAAATTATAAATTTGAATTTAACAATGTTGTTTTCTTGAATTCAAGAAGATTTTATGGACCCATTGAATTGTATAACAAAAATAAAATGGAAATAAGAAAACTAATTTTAACTAAAAATGCTCACATATTATTTCATTAAAATTATTTTTATGGAGTTCATTAATTCAACATCATGTAAAAACATTGGAAGCAAAATTGAGTGAATGAATGAAGCAACATAAATTTAACAAAACATATTTAAATGATTAAATGCTAATACAACTTGTATCATATATTCGTTTGAGTTAAATTTGATTTGAAGTGATGCATGATTAATTATATGTGAGAGACATATTTTTTAATATTTTGAAAGATAATTTATATTTAAAATTTAAATTAAAAATTATCAATTTAATATTTTTTATTATAATTGAATTAAAATTTATTGAAAACCATTGTCTTTTCATATTTTAAATATATTCTATAATAATTAAAAAGATTAGAGCCAATCTTATAACTAATCAATTTTATATAAACAAAGAATACTAGCTTCTGAATTTACAATGGTGTGAATTAGCATATTTTGCACCATTGAAATGATATTTAGTAATAATGTAATTATTAATAGTTATCTTAATTTTTTTAGTGGTGTAAAATAATTCTTATGTTAGTAGTAGTAACTTAATGTCTGTTATTAATTCAACAAGGCTGTGTTGATGCTATGGATTTTATGGGCTAAAAGGACTTCTTTTCCTGTCGTAGGCCCAATGATTGCCAATATCTAGAAATAATGTGGGCCTAGCTTGATGATGATGATTACAAACATAGATATACAATTAAGAAAAGAGGTTTCACCATAATGACTCTCATGCTTGGGTTATCACTTTTTATCATCCAACTACGTTGATTGGGGTCTTAATTAAGTTACTTGGTTCTCTCCTATGCATATTATTGCTCCAACTTTATAAGAAAAATCCTTATCTAAGATTCTTTTAGGTGTGGTTACTATTATTGTTCGATTAGAATTGAAGTTTTAATTTAATAATATATTTTGTCCATTTTATAATTACTACAATTGTAGACCGTTGACAAGAGAAAATATACAAAATTTCATTTAAAAATATTAATTTATATGAGAAAAATCCATTGAAAGGAATTGTTTTTTTACAACAATTAAATTGACATGAGGTACCTTATCGGATAAATTTATTACATCAATCTATAGTTGAATATCAATCTAGTTGAAGCATAAAAAATAATTTGGTTAGATAAACTAACTCAATGATCTCTCAGACCAATTACATTAGGTCAAATTATAATTTTTAGACCCAAAACTTCTCAAGCCTACATAATTTGATATTATTATTTTTCTTTTATAAAATTTAGATAAAAATAAAAATAAAATAAATTTAACCAATTTAACTCTATATCTCATTGAGCTAATGGGATTAAAAAGTAAATGACCCGTATTTTTATTTTTTTTTACCTAATCGAGCTGACCCACTTATAAACATTAGTCTACGTAAGCTAATCTATTAGACAACTCTATCAGTAATAGTGTGTCATTCTTCGGTCCACATGGAGATGGACATTTATATATATATCAATATTTTAAGGTCGATGCATGGTTTATGAAGGTCATTGTTAGTCGTTCCATCACTAATCATCCTACTTTTTACTTACTCTTATTTTAGGTAATTTTGATGATAGCAGATCCTTCAACTTAGATACGTCACTAAATGGATCATAGAAGCAGTTGTTAGAATAGTGAATTTAAATATAATTCAACCCTATAAAACTGGTTTGTAAGGTGAGGGTTGCTTTCCACTTATATATTATTTAATTACTTAATTTCTAGTTGACGTGGTACTTGAGTTTTTCTCAATACACTCTCTCACGTTCAGCACTATTAGGCTTGGTATGTGAATAAATGGTGGATGTTCCTTTTTAATAATTTAGGATTGACGGAACTTGAGTTTTTTTTTTCCTCACGTGGATAAATGGTGGATGATCCTTTTTAATGATCTAGGATTTGCGGGACTTGAGTTTTTTTTTTCTTTTTCTCAATACACTCCCTCATGCCTATGACGCATGTATCAATGGTAGATGACCCATTTTTAAGAATTTAAAATAGTTCTGATACCATCTTAGAATAGTGGATTTAAGCCTAACTCAACCTTATAAAACCGGCTTGTAAGGTGAGAGTTGTTTTTCACTTATATATTATTTAATTATCTAATCTCTAGTCGATGTTGGACTTGAGTTTTTTCCAATAACAGTCACTGTCTGTAACTTTGCAAGATAAAATTAGGGATGATAAATAAATTTATATATCTAAGTAACATTAATTGAATTAATTTTGATTTTGATGAAAAATATTTAGTTTAATCAAGTATAAATATGGATAATATTAAATTCATTAAATTGAATACAGAGATGAATATATATTTACCTATCTTATACCTATATTTAAATCTGTTTTAAATTTTTAAAAATTTAATTTACTTTTTTAAAATATACCTGAGAATGAAAATGTGTATAAAATACAATAGCGGAGACAAAAAATAATAAAACTTATACATACTAGCTGAATCCCATTGTTATCTTTAATAAAAACAAAAAAGCCACTTTAGTATTCTTAAGCCAGTTATCATTATCATAGAAAACTAATTATGTAAAAAAGTTTGTTATACCTAACGGAGGATATGAATATAATTATGTAAGAAAGCTTGCTGTTGAGTAAATTACACTTGCAGGTTTCACAAAATTGCATCAATAAAATATATTAAAATATCCCTTAATCAATACTTTGAGTACACGTGTTATCATGAATCAAATTTTATAAGGGAAAAAAATCAAATATATAGAAAAATTGAATATTAATTAGCCCATGAGATCGTGACCCCTCTTGCTAGCTACCTGCTCCACTCTCCAATTATAAAATTAGTTCACAATGATGGACCCTAATCTCTAGTTTTGTCTCGTGACATCATACACTACACTGTTCAAAACCACAACTCTTAAGTCTAAACCTTCGTATGAACATATTGGGGATGCATGCTTTGTTTGTCCGTGTGAATGAATTAAAACAAATCATCTTAAAACATTGCTTTTAATTATTATCATAATGCGTTAAATAGTTAGTAGGAACACCACAAATTATCAAAAACAAGAGGAGATGAGGTTAAGTGGGTAGGGCCCACAATTAAACTAATCAAAATTCCATTATAAAGTTTAAACTATAAGTACATATTATAACTATATATAAAATCTCATAGTGAACGTGAATTAACTGTTCGAGATTATTCTATTTAAGTATTGAATTTGAGTTGTTGAATATGTAATTCATTAAATATTTAAAAGGTGTAATCAATTTTATATATTAAATATAAATATTTTTAGAGATTTTTTTCAACGAAAAAATTTGTAAGAATTTTTTTTAATTTAATTTTTATTTGTCATAATTATTATAAGTTAAATATTAATATTTTAAAATAATTTATCTATAAATAATAATAAATTTTTATTATAATACAAATTATTTATCATAAATTTAAAATATAATTTATATATTCAAATATATATATATATAATTTTAATTATATATAATAAACATGCATGTAAATTGTAAAGATTAAGATATTAATTATTACCTAATTTTGTTTGACTAAAGTATACTTGTTTTTAATAAAAAAAATTCATGCAATTTTATTTTTAAAAAAGCAACTTACATTATGTGATGTAGTGGTACGATGGCACTACTCTGATGTTGCCTGATTTAAAAATTAAACACTAAGTACCATTCTTGCAAGGAAACTTATTAACAAATCACAAAAAGCTTCGTTTTCTTATGCCAAGGTTTTGAGAATCACAAAATCCATCATCCATGTATTGTATAATCAATTAAAGGCACCTAACAAAGGAATGCTGAATATGATTTTAACCATATGTTTCATACTTTAATCACGTGGCATTTAAATATGGAGTCATTATCATTGGGCTCTTAGCTAGTAATAATGAGTAGTAGTTAACTATCAATTAATAGACCAACTCAGAATCTTAGTACTATTGGAATATGGAAAAGTCCCTATCCTATTTGGAATCACATCATTGTATTATCTTAATTAAACAATCTTACTCATTGGCATGGTATTTGCCTGGAAACCAAGATCAAATTTGGCCACGTTTTTTCCATTATTTTTTTTAAATAAAAATAGTAGAGTGAGGAGACATCCCAATATTTCTGTCTAGAACATTAATAACATGTTACGACTATTAGCATAGATTCACTCAGAAAATTAATTATTTTTTTAAGTAGAATTGTTCAACAAATGAAATTTTAGTTAGCTCCAAAAAAAATTAACCCATATTAACGAAGAAGAAAATGTGTAATTTTGATTTTTTTTTAAGTAAAGATATTCAACAAATGAAATTTTTAGTGAACTCTATAAAAATCAAACCCATATTAATGAAGAAAAATATTTAATTTTAAATTTTTAATCATTTATGTAACTCACATTAGCCATTATATTTTCTTCTAAGACAGAAATTGAACTTCGAATATTAGTAAAAAAACCTAAATATTGAATCTTTTAATTGACGAGTTTCAATACATGAGCCATTATTTAAATCTCTAGCATCCCCCACACACCCCTACTGAGTGATAGGCGTGCATTAACCCTAATTAGGCATGTAACCATTCTCAACAACGACACATGTTTCACATGAATTTTAACCTAAAAAAAAATACTAACACTAAATAAATTTACGAGCGTCATGTGGTGGACCAATCTATATGGCTACGAGGTCAAGCAAAACAGAAAATTCTATAGTTTTAAGGCATTTTTTTTTCTCTTTAAAAAAAAACAAAAAGTTCTCACGACCTTTGATATGCTATTTAGAACCTAATTAAAACCTACCCTAAGAAAAGGAAGTATTTGGCTACACTTAAGGCGAAAATATCGGATCATTAATATTGATCTTTTAGAGTTTTAGA